GTGTCTGTTCATATCCTGTGCCCATTTTTCAATTGGATTATTCTCCTTTATCTTGTTGTGGTGCTTGAGTATTTTATAAATTCTAGATATAAGTCCCTTGTCTGACATGGCAGACTGTTTTCTAATTCACCATAGTTGAGTCTCTAGGTATGATGTGAATCTCTCAATTGCAAAGCCAGAGGAACTCCACTGTGGAACAACACTTGTATAGAATTTAGAATCAGGGGTTAGAACTGGTTCAGTCATTGGAAATCAGGACAGACACAAATTTCTAAAACCTGAGTGTCCCAGAATGAAAAATGAAACAGGCGAGAGGACTAGCTAGCTGAAGCCCTGCAATGGAGACTACAAAGAGGCAGCCAGTGCTCCTTTAGAGGCCTGGGGCAGGAGACTGGATTCCTGCCAAGACCTACACTCACTCAAGGCAGCAGAGTTGGCTACCATCCGTAGAGAGAGGGCCACTGTTGTTTCAAGTTCTGTCAGTTAAGAGGTTTGGCTACTATGCAAAGCATGCTGTTCATTTTCTAAGAGAGAGATTATATTTTCTCATTCAAGTATGGTTTAGATAGATGCACCTACAGTATATAAATTTGGGACTGTTTTAGTGTTTGGCTATCTATTACTCTGTAATACAGATGGCACAAATGGATGCCTTTAACTAAGAGAAATTTATTCTCTCAGTTTAGCAGGTTAAACTCTTAGAGCTTTTGTTTGTTCTGGAGAAGGGTCCCTGTCTCTGTGGGCATCTGTGTCAGTCCAGCATCTGTATGGAGGAACTTCCCATCACAAAAAACCAACACAACCTTGGTCATCTTTCTTGGTAACCTCTTCTGCTCACTTCCCACACTCTTTTATCTCCTGTGAGGTAAAAAGATATTATAGGCCATACCCTGGTGAAATTCCTCTTATCTAAACCACAACTTACTTAAAGCAATTAGGAACCAGCTGAAAGGCCTCTGTGATTAGCAAAAGCCTGATTTGCTATTAGAGATACAACACTAAATTGTCAATTTCTTTTATGTGGGGAACACATTATTCTAATTAGTACAGCACTTGTTTGTCAGTTTGCTCTATGAAGATAACTGTGGGTGCTGTGATGCTGAGCTATGCCGTGGTGTGTCAAATGCCACAAGGGTTACCCATAGTGGACAGGTTTTAGTAGAGTTACCAATTCAGACGGACTAGGAAGGAGAATTGGCCATCCATTTGTTAAATAACCGGTCTCTGAAAATCCTATGATCAGTAGAGGAACTCGGATAGTCACAGAATTAGAAGCAGAGACAAAATGGAAGTCAATTTAAATGAGGAAAACTAGTGGCAAATATCCTTTAACAAATGGAACACGGAATGTACAAACTATGAATGCTGGAAAAATGACATAGCGTGTGTGAACACTGACATACTGTGGTTGTTTGTTATGAGCCCTAAACCGTGCTCTATCCTGTGCCAATCTCATTGCCTCTGACAAACCCATCCCAAGTACCCCAGTCACTGAATCAATCCACCTCATAGAGGGTCTTCCCCTCCTGTGGTGTCCCTCCACCCTCCCAAGCATGATGTCC